TACCTTAAATTCGGTAAGGTTTGTGTCCAGTTATATATTATAAACTTGTTTTATATTTAATCGAGATTTTTGCTGACAGTTGAAGTGATATTTAGTGATGTAAAGAGTGTAAACGTTTTGTTTTGGATGCAAATCTTGCAGCAATGAGAGAGGTGGGAAGTTTTAGGGACTGTGATGTACCAAATGGGCAAGCTATTGCATCCGGTAGTGGGTTGCATGGTACTTTGAACTTCTCATCAAGGATATCATCATCTTCTTGCTCCACCAGAATGCCACAGATTGCTGAAAATGGAAATGAAGTTGTGGAACCAAATTGTGTTGAAAGCAGAAACCTGAGGAATGACAGTGGCAACACTAAGTGTTACATGCCTAGTTTCACCTCTGACTTCTGGGATGGTTCTGCAATCAGTGCCTCCAGAACAGCTACTAATAACTGTGAAATATCATTTTCCACTTCAAATGCAATGGATATTCAGGTATTGAATGAATGAGACATTGTGTGATGATTCATGTAGCCAAACTCAGTTAGCAAATGTTGTTGATATGTGAAAACTTATGTTCCCAGAATGCAGATTTTGGATATCAGAAACTTGGTCTGACCCATCATTTGAGTCTTCCTAGCTCTTCTACCAGAATGACTACCATGGAGAAGTTATATCAAACTCAAGGAACTGTTCCATGCAAAATTCGTGCCAAGAGAGGTTTTGCCACTCACCCAAGAAGCATTGCTGAAAGGGTAAAAATCTCATACGGTTCTACTGATCCTCTTCATTTGCCTAGTGCTGATCTTCTTCTTGTGTTATCTTGATGTGCATATTTCAGGAAAGAAGAACAAGAATCAGTGCAAGAATCAAGAAATTGCAAGACCTTTTCCCAAAATCAGACAAGGTAAACTAACTCTCTCACTAGAAAATCACATTGTTGACTGAAGCTTTTCCATGTGCACTTTGATGACTTCATGCTTCCCTCTTGGCAGCAAACAAGCACAGCGGATATGTTGGATTTGGCTGTTGAGTACATCAAAGACCTGCAGAAACAAGTTAAGGTACTGCAGAATTATAATCTTCACTTAAATCCTTATAGAAAAGCAATCCCTTCACCATAATCTTCATTTTCTAACTAATCAAATAATTAACTCATGTTGCAGATGCTGGCTGACACTAGGGCAAAGTGCACTTGTTCAAGTAACCAGAAGCAATAATATTGTAGAACTTGTGCCTGATTTATGTCATTGTAGATAAAAGAAAGAAGAAGTTTCTTTTTTGTACTGATATAAAAAATTTAGGGTCATTGTGATTATGTAGAATAGTGCTGATATCTGGTGGTATCAAAGAAGTTATTATAGGCTCAGCTCTATGTGAATCTCTTCAGTTTTGTTTTCCATTTTCCTTCATTATTTCTTTCTTTCCTTCCACTGCTTGATTTAAGGATCATGATGTAATAATAGCTAGTTTAGAAAGATCACTGTAACTGTTCTTTCTACTTATCAGAGGTTTCATGGTTCCACAAAACAAATTTCAGTCCTCCTGAGAAACTGTCAAGACCAACTTTCATGTCTTAAGTACAGATTTTCTACTGATTTTTTGGCGTTGCCATCTGATAAGACACAATAAAAACAATAGAATAGAATTCAAATTCATATTTATACATAAATTTAATCTGTGAAGAGAGAATCATACACATGTGTTGGATATGTATGATTTACAAATATGACAAGTAGGATTTAGATTCTACCCGTGATAGAGGAAGAATTTGTAAGATCAATGAATAGAAAAGTGAAAATTACAACAAACATTGAAAAGTGTTAATGCATATCTCGAAAGAATAATTGTAACACGATACACTTTTACGCATAAAATAAGAATAAAATAATCATAAAAATATAAATTTTTGTATTTTTTCAAGAAAGAAGAGATAAAAAAGTTGAAAAGAAAAAATGTCAAGTGTGTCAAAAAATATTTTTCATCTCGTAACTATACAATATTATTTTCTGCAACATTATTCTGGTTTTTTATCTGTGTATTTTTTATTTCTATGTGAGAAAACCTCACTGAATATATAGTTTGGTTGCAATGTACCTCTTCTTCCATAAGGAGTGCATTGCATATTAACAGGTTTTAGTTTAGACTATTATTGAAGCCAGATGTGTGAAAAAGAAAATAAACTTATTCCAAATTTGATGTACTAAAAACCAGCATTTCATATTTTATTGCATTATGATTATTCTTGTTTTAAATTGAATTTTACTTCAAAATTATTTTAGATTATTTCATGAAATAAAAGTCATTAAATAATTAATTTTTTAGGTTATGATCAAATTTAAACTAATTGATAGTTTTAAGTTAATAGTGTCTTCAATTTTGGATTGATGTCAATCATTGGTGTAAATTGTTTTCATGATTCAGTAAATATTACTCATTTAATTCCATATTCAACTTCATTTTTTATTATTCTAATTGTAAGTTAAACCATTTCCTAAAATATAACATTATTGATTTAAATTATTTTCATAAATAAATGACCGTTATATATTCAATTATATCACGATGCTTTATTCTGAATCCAATCATTTCTCAAAACATTTTCAATATTTAATTATTTACAAAAAAAATTAATACTAAATTACTGATGTAAATAATAATCTAATTTTAATTAATGAAAATTTTAAATTAATAAATTAATATTCCATTAAATTTTGGATCGATATTAATCAACGATTTAATTTATTTCTACAAATAATGGAAATTCTGGATTTTACTCCTCTTTAATTCAATTACAATTTTTTATTTTAAAATTGAATTATTTGAAAAAGAAAACAAATGTCCATTTTAAATATATATTTGAATTGTTCAGATTAAATTAATGGTTGCTTAGTTCTTAGAGTCATTTTAAACAATAGTTTTATGGTGATACATTGTTTGGTTGCAGATAGATTATTATATCAATACAAATAGATTTTGTATATAATATTGATGAAGAAAAACCCAAATAAATTTCAAGATCTCCAATAATGTGTAGTTCTTAAGACGCCTAATATAAACTTTTCATATAAATACAAATAATATTTTACCAAAATACTTTTTTAAAGAAACTTAACTTTAAATTATAAACAGTTTTAAACATGTTATTTACTTATTTCACTAAAATACATTTGTTTCATGTAAATAATAAATTTAAACTTATTACTTTTAAAATGTGAAAAAGCATAAATTATTTTTAAATATTTTTCCAAAATATTTTATCCTGTATAATATTAAATAAATAAATTAAGTACTAAAATACATTTGTTTCATGTAAATAATAAATTTAAACTTATTACTTTTAAAATGTGAAAAATCATAAATTATTTTTAAATGTTTTTCCAAAATATTTTATCCTGTATAATATTAAATAAATAAATTAACTACCAATTAAAAAATATTAAATAACTTCTATATTTTTCAATATTTTTAGAAGACTGAACAAATAATGTAAATAGACATAATTATTAAATCATTTCATTAATGTATAATTGACACAATATTTAATCATTTTAGTAAAACAGAATTAACAATATTTTTTTATCATTTAACTGATGTTCTTATATTTACTATAGTGAAAATTTTAAAAATAAACTATATTTCTTTAATTTTGTAAAATAATCAAGTATTTAAAAAAAAACTTAGGTCTTGCATATAAACAAACTAATGTATTGTGAAGCACTCAGATTGACAATTTTAATTAAAAATATAAAATAATATTTCAGGTTGAGTTGAAAAGGTAATTGTATGATTAACTTGTTTATAATAAGAATCTATTTTTCAATTTTTTTTCTATGAATATATGTCGGTTTAATGTCTCAATAGGTCCCTATTTTTGTTCAGAATTTAAAATAGGTCCCTTTATTTTTTGGCATCTCAATTGGGTCCTTATTTTTGTTAATTTGATGCAAATAAATCCTTTCCGTCAATTTCATCAAACGACGTTAATGAATGTGTGACGTGGCCTGAGGACAGTATTGACACGTGTAAGGCCACGTCACACATTCATTAACGCCGTTTGATTGATGAAATTGACGGAAATGATTTATTTGCATCAAATTAACAAAAATAAGGACCCAATTGAGACGCCAAAAAATAAAGAGACTTATTTCAAATTCTGAACAAAAATAGAGACCTATTGAGACATTAAACCAATATATGTCACTTAGTTTTGAGAGTTTTGTTGTATGAAAAGTGTTTGATTCGGATTCTCAACGTAAGTGAAAAAAAGAATAGAAAATATGTTTTAAATTCCTATCAGCATAATTTATATCCATACAAATTGGCCATTTTTTTTTTAATTTTGAGGATTGAATTAGGAGAATAAATCTATAATTTTTTTTTTTAAAAAAAATTGAAGGTCAAATTCATATTCATCCATATAAAAATATAAGAATCTTAATCACTTTTAATCAAGAATATAAAAACTAGAAAAATCAAAGGTTTGTCACCATACAAACATGAATTACCGTAAAAGTAAAGAAAATATTAATATTTTTAATAATTACTTTTAGAATAATCCCTACGATTATTTCTAATTAGCTAATAATATAAATATTTTTATGCTAAAAGTGTGTTTAGCTTTATAGGATAGTCACGCATTCATCATTTTATTTAAATAGAGATAATTAGTTTACTCGGACATGATTCTTTGATAATTATTTTAAGAATCATTCCTACAATTATTTTATTACTAATTATTTATTTTGTAAATTATGAAAAAGAAATTTAAATTGGGATAAATGCCATTTTAACCATAAACAAGCAACAATTTATAATGTGAAACAACGAAAAATATAATTTAAAATAAAAATTAATTTCTAAACTTTAGAATTCAACATCAAATTAAACATTAAAACATATAATTTCATACTAAATTTATCCTTAAATCATCATAATTAAATATGGTAATGTATACATTATACATATTCAGTAATTAAATAAATTAAATTATCATCATGATACATTTTTCAAATAAAAATTTACTATGTTAGATTGAAATTGTGTGTGATGATGAACACTTACAACATTGCAAGTGAAAATATTTCATTTTCAGTTGTTAGAAAAGTGTGAATATCCCAATCTTCCTTTCTTGTCGTGTGTTCCAAGTTGCTGTCGAAATTCTAAACTGTGAACTCTGTTTTCCTCTGCTTTCAGCAAAGAACGCTTTTCAGAGGCAACACAAAACCAACATTGATGAATGAAACTGATTGACATGCCATTTTTCGCTTACCCAATTGCCTCTCCAACCACAACCAACCACCCCTTTTTCCCTTTCCTATTAAACTACCTTCCTTCCAGCCACAGAAACCGTGTGCACATACAAAGAAAAAAAAGGTCTCGTTTTTATGCAGAAAAAAATCTGGGGTTTGCATTGTTGAGTTCACTTTTCAAAAGGGTTATTTCTTGAAGCGTAATGGCTCAGTGGCAGGGTGATGCTGATGAGGGCATAGACTACATGTTCAAGATTGTGATGGTTGGTGACTCTGGGGTTGGAAAGTCTCAGCTTTTGAATCGGTTTGTGAAGAACGAATTCCATATGAAATCGAAACCCACAATTGGGGTGGAGTTTCTGACAAGGACACTCGTCATGGACCACAAGCTTGTCAAGGCACAGATTTGGTACACTGCTGGTCAAGAAAGGTCCAGCATTTTTTCTACTGTGCATTCATTTTCAAAGCTGGTTACTTTTTTTAGTATTATTATGTGGTTTTGTGCCAGAGTTTCTCACTCTGCTTGTGCTGAGCTGAAATTGTTAATTTTCTTAGGAAAATGATTAAGAATGCATGTAAGATCTGAGAGGTAGAAATTGAGATCTCATAAGATCTTTTGAGTTCATAAAAACAGCATAATTTTTTCAATTTAATATTACCAAACCAGAAGATGCATGTGGGGGAATTGTGGTACTTCAACTAGGTATGATAATCATCAAATGTTTACCATTTGATGGCTTCTTGGTTGGCTCAATTGTTAATTTTGCTGCATCAGAATAGGGATGTGTGTGATGAGTTTTAACCAAGGTTTTTAAAAACTGTCCATGACAGTGAGTTCAGCAGCAACATCAAGATTTTGGGTCTTTTTGTGATTGCAGTTGTGGTTGCATCGGCTGAATCTTTCTACAATTTCCCTTAATTTCTAGAATCACTAATAAATTGCAATTTCAACTGCCGACAAGCTCTTGGTTGGATTGGTACTGAACTTGGTCCCCTCCAGAAAGTTTAGGTCCAATCCAAGCCTAAATTAGTCAAATTTTGAAATTTCAACTGCCAAATTCAACTTACCATGAACTGCATAACCATATGCCTGTTAACTAAGTTTAACTAGTCTACCAGTTGACATGATTCTGTGTTTTATTGTTTATATATATGTGGTTGATTTGGTTCCTGGAAAGTGTCTTTAAAATGTATGTCTGTTTCATTTTCATGTGACAATGTTGGCATATCACAGGTACCAGGCAATTACAACAGCCTATTACAGGGGTGCAATTGGTGCATTACTAGCATACGACATAACCAAGCAGCAAACCTTTGATCATGTTGAGAAGTGGTTGGATGAGCTGCGGATACACGCTGATCGAAATATACTTGTCATGCTTGTTGGCAACAAATCTGACCTGAGTTCTCTTCGAGCAGTGCCTGTTGAAGTGGCTAGAGAGTTCGCACAGCAAGAGGGTCTATTCTTTCTGGAGACATCTGCTCTTGACTCCAGCAATGTGGAATCAGCTTTCGTTGGTCTCCTCTCTCAAGTATATAGAACAGTCAGTAGGAAGCAAATCATTGTGGATGGACATGAAGCAAATTGGGACAAAGTAAACCTTGGACTTGAAGGAACAAACATTAAGATGCCATTTCAAGAACCTGAATGCCACAATGCTAAAAAGAGATCCAATTGCTGCAGTATTCTTTAGAATTTTGTGTTCACCTAGAGCCACCTTTATCTTGGGTAAGGACTATTTTGCTCTCTTCCCATGTTGTGGCGCATTAATGTAGACTTTGCCATCTATTTTTCCTTCCTTTACCTTTCAGGATATTTGTTAGGCATAGTTTTACAAACTCAAGAATGATATGATGAATTTGAGTAGTCTGTTCAAAATTTATCTAGAAGTGAAGCTTTTGCCTGGACTAATGCTCAATGCTGCTTCCCAAGAATGCAAATAGGACTTTTTTCTCTTAGTGCTTCTAAAACAATTCATGCTGATATCGAATGAAGTTTGATCATCCATGGAACATTCAAGCATATCCTTTCTAAAGTTGTTGTTATCCCCTTTTTCCAGGCACTGGATTTTTATGTTGTTTTAATTGCATACCCACTTGATCTCAGCATATTCCGGTTGATGTGATCATTAGTTTTCATTTAGGATTTATATGTTACAATTGGAACAACCCCATTGCTAATTTCTTTAGTCCAGCAACCAGTGTGAATGAGGGTTGCAGAAGATAAAGTTTCTAATGAGTTTGTAGGAGACTTTCAATAATGTTGAATCTGACAAATGTTTATGTTCCTCTGCATTGTTAATTATTGTTCATATATTTAGGTTTGTGACAGATGAATCTCAATCTTTTACTTCCTGCTCCTGTTAAAGTAAAAAACTGTTCCTGAAATTAAAAGAAAGGGTTTAAGTTTTTTGAACAATCATTGCAAAAGTTAACAGATTTATCATACATGCTTGTTTATGATTGATTGATGGTATAAAAAACTTTTACAGTATCAATGCATGCACTCTTTGCTTAAAAAAAAAGAGCACCATGAAGGTACACTGTCAAAAAATTATAGTAAATGTAAAGAACAGTTTTGAATGTAAATGATAAAATGGGTGATAGTTTCAATTGTTGAAAATCTCGACTAAAATAAAACAAATTTATGATATATAATTAGAGTATAAACCTGATTATGTAAGTCAATTTTGTATTATAAAAATCACTTTTTAACATCAATTTGTTGAGTTTTGTGTTGTGAGTATTTCTTACGTATTGGAATAGAATGGCAACTGATTATTGATCATAGTTGCCATTTCAGATACAAAGTTGTGCTGTATATGCTTTCTCTCTCTCTCTGCTTCTCCTTTTCCCAAACCAGTTTTATTTTTTTGTTTAAAAAAACCATTATCAAACTCTAATGCATGGATAAATATTAGTCTAATTTTCCCAAAATATCAAATGCAATATAGGCCACACAGCTGACTCAAGACGACTCAATAGTTAGTTAGTTGCATCCAATTTCTGCCAATTTGATATATTTATGAGTTGAGTATTATTTATTTTATTTCAAAGTTGAATATATATTTTTGTCTCTAACTAATTCTTAAATTTGATTTTTTTTTTCAAAAATTGCACGTGGGTTGTCTTTCATTAATTTTGCATGTGCGAAATAAATTAATCATGATTTGATAAGAGATGTGAAAGGGGGTTATTAGTCAAATCACTTGTTCATAGAGGCTATAATGGGTTCACTCTTAAAAAATCTACATGAAATTTGGATTTTTCTGTTAAATTCTTCTGTACGGTTCTTCAGCTGTGTCTTAAAAATATATCAATATTTATGCATTTTTAATACTTAGCAGAAGAAGATAAGATAGAAAATGTAGCCTCATGGCATGGTAAATATAGTGATAGCTGCATAACAGAAGTTTGTCTATGGAGTTTGTTCATTATACATATGGATTAAAATGTAGTACTGGAACACAGAGAAGGGGTTGAGCCATGCTCAAAGACAAGCCAGATGAACCAGATTGCATATTGACCTTTTTTCCTTTTCCATCTTCACCAATCTTCCAATCAAAGCACTGCACCATAGCAGCCACTTCAGTGTTTATGAAGATGAAAGCAAGTTCTGTTCCTGGACAGCCTCTCCTTCCACCTCCAAATGGAACAAAATTAAACTTCATTCTCTCATCCTCCTCTTGCAAGAAGAACCTTTCAGGGACAAACTCATTCGGATTGTCCCAGGAATCAGGGTCCCTCATTATGGCATACAAATTGATTGCCACTGCTGTCTTTGGTGCCACGTCAAACCCATTTATCTTGCAGTGTTGCCGACACTCTCTTGTCATCACTGGTGCTGGTGGATGGAGTCTCAGTGTTTCCTTCACAACTGCTCGCAAATATGGCATTTTTCCAACATCTGACTCCTCAACTAGCCTTTCATTCTCGGTCACCAACTCTATCTCCTTTCTTACCTTTTCAAACGCTTCAGGGTGGTTCAGCAGCTCAGCCATCGCCCATTGCGTGCCTTCTGCTGAGGTGTTTGTCCCTGCAATGAAGAGATCCTTCTCGTCCCACAACAGGAAAATTCATTTCAGATTTGGTTAAACATGTTTTTAGATTTTAATTTTGAATGAGAAATCGAAAGAGGGTTATACCAAGAAGAAGGCTTTGATATGAGTTCTTGTGATCTTGAACTCTGCATGAGGATCGTGGTGAACATCAAGCAGAATGTCCATCAAATCCCTTTCGTTTTCTGCATGACGTGATGATCTTTTTTGTTCATGCTCCTTCAGCACCTTCTCCAACAACTCATCGTACCTTTTGCTCACATCCAAAGCCTTCTTCCCATACACCCAGAAACTCAACTGCTTCAGAGGACCCAACACGTCTCCAAAGCATAACTTTGCAGCAAGCTCGAAGGATTCCTTTACCAGCTGCCTGATCTTCTCTGCATCCTCGTATTTCTCCAAACAACTTCTCCCAAAACACAAGACAAAGTGTTTCATAGAACCATCTTATTAAACTCCAACAATCATAGCAGAAAGGTTTTGTCTTTTAGGAATTTCTCGTAAATTGAAAGTAAAAACTTGATAAGAAATGAACTAGATAAACATATAGAAAAATATTCTTTGACCTATATAAATTTTTTGAAAAATATTATTGGACACACATTAATTGTTTACATTCATGACACTACTTTTTCTTGATAAATTTTGATATTTTTGATTAAATTTTTTTTGAATTTTTTTGATATATTAAGTATTTCTGTTTAATTTCTTTTAGTAATTTCTAAAAATATTAATTGAGTTTTAATTAAGTTTTTTTATTTACTAAGTATCTTGCATATTTGTTTATACATATGATTTAGTTATTGTAAAATCACAAATGAATTTTATTGATTTAATTAAAAATACATTGAATAGTATGATTATCATTAAGAGTGAGGAATTATTCATCTCATTATCATTGATAAAATTATTTTTATTATTCTAACATTTTTAAATAAAATAATAAAATTTGATCATTATGTTATATCAAACATAACTTTTTTATATTAATCATTCAACTTTCTTGTTTCTCCACATGAAGCTGAAAAGAGGTAAAATAATAATCACTTCAATTAATTAGAAAGAACTCAAATAAAATATATAATCTTTAAAAATAAAATACAATTTTAAATTTTATTTAAGAATTACTTAAAATACAAAAATTATGATTTAAAAAAATAGAGTAAGAGCACACATTACGTTTATTTGATGTAAAAGAATTAATTTTTGTAATTTTTTGAAAAAAAATAAAAAATAAAAAGTAAAAGAAATAGTGTAATGTAAAAACTTAGGTGTGTAAAAATATTATTTTTTAAAACAATATTAAAGTAGAAGTTAGATAAAAAGAAAAAGAAAATAGGAAGAGGTATGTACCAGGTGGACATGGCCATCCTGCAAGTAATGTTGTTGGTGAGTTTCATGAGTTGAGAGCCCAAATCGATGGCACCACCCTTCTCTCTGACATGCTCCAACATCCCTTTTACCCAACCTTCCATCTCTTCCTTTCTCACCTTCTTAGACCCTTCCAGCTGCCGCGGGCTCAGCAGTTCCCTCATGCACACTTTCTTCACGAACCGCCAGTACGGGCCGTAGGGGGCCGTCACGAATCCCGCCAGCCCAAAGGGCAGCTTCTCGGCATAGGCGAAGAGAGGCCGGGAAGAGAACGCGAGGTCGTGGGTCTTGAAGATGTGGGTGGCGACTTCAGCGGAGGAGACCACGAGGAGGCGGCGGGAGGGTCCAAGACGGAGGAGGAGGAGGGGGCCGTGGGCGGCGGAGAGGGTGTGGAGAGAGGTGTGGAGGGATGAAGAGAGGAGGTGGAGGTGCCCTAGCAGAGGGAGGCTTGGAGGGCTTGGTGGGAGGTGGAGATCGTCGGCGGTGGTTTTTCCGGTGCACCTGACAATGAGGAACAATAACAGAACCAAGAACAAGAATAACAGTGTCTCAATCATGGTGTGTTCACTGCAACAAAATCTGTCATGTTATCTTCAGCCTTTGTTGGTATGCAATAAATAAATAAATGATAACTTCCAACATAAAAAGAATAAGATGTGGTCTACCTCGTGATGCTCGTGCTTTTTTAAGTAATAATTGGTGATGATACATATTTATATTTATTTTATATACATTGGCACTACTAAGTAGGATTGACTAACCGGACGTGTTTAGACGATATTGAGTATGCGGGAACGACAGTTCAATATGTCCGGTCTGGCCTCTACCAAGTAGGATTGACCGACCGGACATGTTTAGACGATACCGAGTATGCGAGAACGACAGTCCAATTTGTCCGGTCGGGCCTCTCCAGCCGTTTGCTGGAGACAGTGTTTTAATGTTCATGAATGCGCAATTAATGAGGTAACGGTCATTGTCGAGTAGTTAAGGTGAGCATTGAACGTCATTAAGAGGTAAATTAATGGATAATATTCTCTGAAACCATATAAATAACAATCGATTGAGAAGGTAAACTCTCTGTTTTGACTAAATTTCGATAGACTTGCAAGGACAAATTCTGACTTAAGCGTCAGAGTGTTTTCTGCCACCGGTAGAATTGCACAGTCTGATGTCTCCTTGGTCGTTCGCCCAATGGGGAATAGACATTGTCGGACCCTTTCCAGTGGGCCGAGCGCAGAAGAAATTCCTATTAGTAGCAATTGATTATTTCACTAAGTGGGTGGAAGTAGAGCCGCTCGCAACAATCACGGCGACGAGGGTTCAAAAGTTTATGTGGACACTCATATGCCGATTTGGAATTCCCAAAACCATAGTTACGAACAACGGGCGGCAGTTCGTTGATAAAAGATTGGGGGACTTCTACAAAAAACTGGGAGTTAAGCATGTAACGAGCTCGGTCGAGCATCCACAGACGAACGGACAGGTGGAAGCAGCCAATAAAGTCATTGTTACGGAGCTAAAGAAAAGGTTGGGAGATGCTAAGGGAGCTTGGGTGGATGAGCTTCAGGAAGTCCTTTGGGGGTACCGTTGCACACCGCACGGTACAACTGCAGAAACCCCTTTCAACCTCACATATGGAATGGACGCTATGTTACCAGTCGAGGTAGGGGAACCTACTATTAGAAGGGGGATTCAAAGTTTGCAGAGGAATAATGATGAGCTACGGGTGGAGTTAGACACCTTGGATGAACGAAGAGAGGTCGCAATGATCTGAGCGGAGGCACAGAAAAGGCTTCTGGCGAGACGATACAACACCAAGGTGAGACCCCAGCAATTCATTGAAGGAGACTTAGTGTGGAGAAAGACGGCGGAAGCTTGACGAAGCCGAGCGGCAAGAAAGTTAGCTGTAAACTGGGAAGATCCCTTCAGAGTGGTCGAAAACTTGAAGAATGGAGCGTATCGATTGGAGCATCCGACGGGAAAAGCTATACCCAATACGTGGAATGCGTCCCACTTAAAGTTTTATTTCAGCTAAGAAACGACCTTGTACTTCTTATTTAATATCAATAATACCATGATTTTAATCACATTCCAAAGATTTTATGATGTTATAGCAGCCGAACAGGTGAAGCAGATTTCTTTCGTGAACTCTCACCTTGGTCTTAGGGCACGCTTCTAGAGAGCTCCTAAGACCTTTACCGAGCGGGTGAGACAGATTTCTTTTGTGAACTCTCACCTTGGTCTTAGGGCATGCTTCTAGAGAGCTCCTAAGACCTAAATCGAGCGGGTGAGGCAGATTTCTTTCGTGAACTCTTACCTTGGTCTTAGGACACGCTTCTAAAGAGCTCCTAAGACCTAAACCGAGCGGGTAAGGCAGATTTCTTTCGTGAACTCTCACCTTGGTCTTAGGGCACGCTTCTAGAGAGCTCCTAAGACCTAAACCGAGCGGGTGAGGCA